TACTGTTCAAAACCAAAAACAGATTTTGTTATCTTTTAATCAGTCCACTATCCCATTGATGCTATTTAAGATGAGACCATACTTAGCAGCATTTCAAATTTTCCCCATCAGAGGTTTTCGCAATGTAAAAGCTAGTTCTTTGTCCGGCTTTGCCTCATCTGGACTCCCACTGTCTTGCTTTTTCAAGGCTGTATGGGGGAGAGGAAGGCTTGCTGACGTCTGTTAAAGTTTTGGAGTGGGTACAGATGTCAGCAAGCCTTCCTCCCCCTCATACAGCCTTGAAAAAGCAAGACAGTAGGAGCCAGCCACTCTTACTGAATGAAGACGTGTCAGATCCTGCTGAAGCTGACCTTATCAGCTCCTTTCATTCTCTGCCTAGGAATGAATGAGATAATCTATATATTACTAAAACACTCGTGTCTGTAACCTTCAACTGGGCAAAGCAGTGCATCATAGGGCAATAATTTTAGAACCAAGGTTACCTCAAATGGGCTTACAGAACGCATCCAAAATCCGGGACCCATAACTCCTGTGGGATTGAAATTTGGGAAATTTGTGGCTGCTTCAGCAGTGCTGTGCTGCTGCACTGCTGTGGTCAGCCCAGGTTGTGTGATCGTCATGGACATACCCCCAACATCTTTCCTGCCTTCCTCTGTCCCCTGCACCCAATTGGCTGACAGCAAGGCCTGATGGGTGAGTGGTAATTGGGTGCTTTGGAAACAAGGCAGAAATTTGAAATATCTTAACAGCTGTGGGCATTAAGGGAAGGATGAGGAGCAGGGGTGCAGTTTTCCTCATGGTTTGCAGCTCCCTTTGTTCTGCCTTCCCCCAGCAAAGTGGCAGGCAGTTCCGCAGGTCACTCAAGAAGGTGGTGGCTTCACAGGGGCTCTCCTGAGGGTCGTGAGGGGAGAGCGAATGGTGCAAGCCTATATTATATGTGGGAGGGAGGGAGCATACTGACTGTAATGGCAATCACATGACTGAGGGAAACTACAAAGGTTGTGAATGTGAACATTGGTCATAAAGTTATTTTTTCAGCACCATCGTAAATTCAAATGGTTACTGAATGAGGCAGTTGGTAAGCGAGGACTACATTACAAACATTAATTCCCTTCTTGCTAATTATCCCAGTGCTGGGGTGAGCATTCCAAAGGGTGGAGGTGTGGGGAAAAGGAAAGCACAATTGTGGTCATGTGATTTGCCAGTTAGCCACCACTTTGCTTAAAGACAGAGCTACTGATCCCAATGGTGGTCACTAAATGAGAATTAATGTGATTATCTCTGGAAACTGGAAACTTAACTTGTCTTTGTCAGGAATTCAAAAAAGTTGTGTTTCGTGGAAGCCTTAATGTTTAGAAGTCAAATTGTTAAGAGGTGGCAGGATAGAAGCGATAGGCCAGATTTTCTGTTATTTGAGTAGTGAAATGTTTGAATCCACAATGGAGAATTATCAAGCCTCCCTTCCCTTTGTTATCAGTGCAAATATAAATCCTTGAATCATGCAAAAAATGTTCCCAATGCTTATGTTCAACTCAAAGAAAGGTTAAATATCAGGGTTTTCTTACTTCCCAGTGCATGAGATCACAGAACATCTCATTAACTTCTCTTATGTCTGTTAAAGCTATCAATTTCATGCTTTCAGCCACTGGAGAATCACAGGTTCAAAAGGAATGTTTGCTGTAACGACTGTCTTTGGGACCCAAATAAAGAAATAGAAAATAGCAAATAACATGACAAACAGAAAACCAGTCTTCTTGAACATGGGACAACAGAACATTTCTCTAAACTAGAAGTGAATTTTACATCACATATTGCCTTCTCCTTTTCACTGTTCAGCCTCAATTATTCACCTACAAAACAAACACGATATTGAACTATCAGGAATGTGTATTTCTGACTCTTGAAGAAAGACATATAGATGTCTTAAGAGGGAATTATTATATTTATTTTTATAATCTATCTTCTACTCTATCTCAAGCTTTATGTTTCATCTGCTTTCGTAACTCGTAGCCCATATTAAAATGAAATAATCTGAAAATAAATACAAAGCACTGATAACAGAGTTTCTTAGCAGCTTTAACAACAGAAACATATTTGAAAACTAAACTTTAATTAAAGTAAGGACAATCCTATAAGCCTTTCCCTATGCAAGCTTATGAAGGTCTCCAAAATTATGAGTACACCAAAATATCTGTTCTTTCTTCCCTTTGTGTTGCAGCAACAAAAAGTTTCTTATATGCATCCTGTGACATATTCCTAAATCATGCGGTTTCTTTAATTTAATTTTGCATGTGTATAAATCTGAGTACTATGGTTTATTAAACCATTATTCATGTATTAACATGTTTTAAACTTAGGCAACTAAGGCCTATTCAAGAAATCATGGTTAAAAAATTTAGGTTACCATAATGTGTGTTTAGTGATACATCTCTTCTGTTTTGAAGAACTCCTGAAGACCTCCAGTAGTTGGATTCTTACTGTTTGTGGTCTCATAGCTCAGTTATGTGTATGTCTCTCATTACATGTGAGGACTAACACCCACATGAATATTTATTTCTGTGCATATTGCTCACGTTATACCAAGAAAGTTTTCATCACATCCTATAGGCTGTCCCAGCAATGTGTTTGACTGTACTGAAAATTTAGCAGCTAAATTTGAATACATTTGGGATGATGCCTCTCTGCTCAATTCTAGGTTTATTTTATAATCCAAGCATTTAAACAATAAAATATATCTGAAACAACATGTATGCAAAAGCTATTTAAACATTTACTTAGTTATTTTTTATTGGGCTGTTTTGATTTTATTGATAAATTTTTATACATATATGAGACTAGGCTGAAGCTGCCATAACCTAAAGATGAAGCAGGCAGGTAAGCAGAGAGGACA